CCTCGACACCCTCAGCAAGTTCTCTCACGACGCTGACCCCGAGGTCTCCTACAACTCCATCTTTGCTATGGGCATGGTGGGCAGCGGTAAGCCTCGGACAGCCTGGTTTGGGGCTCGTGCGGGCGGAAGGTGGGAGACCCGAGCCATGTACCCTACTCTCTGCCTGCACCCCCTCTTCCTCAGGTACCAACAATGCCCGGCTGGCAGCGATGCTGCGGCAGCTCGCCCAGTACCACGCCAAGGACCCCAACAACCTCTTCATGGTGCGGTTAGCCCAGGTGATGATCCTGCGCTCGCCGCTCGTGGCAGGGAAGGGGCAGGTTGGGGGTCCCTGTGGTGTTGCGGGGGTGTCACCCTCCTGCCAGGCAGGGCTGGGGGTCCCAGGCGTTACCCCACCCCTCTCTCACGTGCTTTCTTCGCCACGCCAGGGCCTGACCCACCTGGGCAAGGGGACGCTCACCCTGTGCCCCTACCACAGCGATCGCCAGCTCATGAGCCAGGTGGCCGTGGCCGGGCTGCTGACCGTCCTTGTGTCTTTCCTGGACGTGCGCAACAGTGAGTACTGTGGGCTCGGCCCCCCGGGCACCCCCCTGCCCCGCAGGGTGGGCATCGCTCAGCCCCTTTACTTCTGTCTCTCCCCAGTTATCCTGGGCAAGTCCCACTACGTCCTCTACGGCCTCGTTGCTGCCATGCAGCCCCGCATGCTGGTCACCTTTGACGAGGAGCTGCGACCTCTGCCCGTGTCGGTTCGGGTGGGACAGGTAAGGGGCAGCCAGAGCTGGGGATGGGGTGCCCCGACATCCTTGCGTGGCCCCAGCATTTACCTCGCTCTTCTCCCGCAGGCCGTCGACGTGGTGGGCCAGGCAGGCAAGCCAAAAACCATCACTGGCTTCCAGACGCACACGACGCCGGTGCTGCTGGCGCACGGAGAGCGGGCAGAGCTGGCCACGGAGGAGCACGTGCCCGTGACACCCATCCTGGAGGGATTTGTTATCCTACGCAAGAACCCCAACTACGACGTTTGAGCCAAGGGGGGCCTGGGGGAGGGGTGGGTAGGTGGTTTGGGAGGGGAGGAAAAAAAAACCTAGGTTGTTTGTTTGTTTTTTTTGTTACTGAGAGTCAAGAAAATAAACTATGTGGAGACTCCAGTGCTGCCGTATGCTCCCTGTGCTGGGGGTGCGGGCTGGGCGCCGAGCCCCTGGAGGCTGCCAGCTGCCCCTGGGGGCCGGGCACGGCGCAGGCCCCGAGAAGCAGGGGGTGAACACGGAGCTGTAGGGTGCCACGGGTGTTCCCGCTCCTCCCCACCCTGCGCCCGGCCACGGCAGGGTGTGCCGGCAGTGTGTGACTCTCTTCCCTGGGGGGCTCGGGGGGGGACTCCCGAGTTCAGCTCCGACTCTCTTCCCTGGGGGGCTCGGGGGGGGACTCCCGAGTTCAGCTCCAGAGCCCGGATCAGGGTTAAAATCGGTCTTGGGGCGGGGTGGAAGCTACGGGGGAGGTATTTTTAGGAAAGAGAGGAAACCCCTGTCCTGTTTCCAGAACGGGAAGGGTCGATGCCCAGCCCTGTCCCCCTGGGAGGCTGGGTCTGGGGGAGCCAAGTCCCAGGGGGAGCGGGGTGGGTGCAGGGTAGGGGCAAGGTGCCTGTCCTGTGGGGTGCTGGGTGGATGCAGGTGTTCGTGGGTGCAGGTCCTGGGTGGGCGCCGGTCCTGGGGGGGGTCCCGGTGCAGGTGGGTGTGGGTCTTGGGTGGTGCCATGTGGGCGCCGATGCTGGATGGATCCTGGGTGGGTGCAGGTCGGAGTCGTGCCGGTGCTGGGTGGGTGCTGGTCCCAGGGGGTGCTGGTGCAGGTGGGTGCCGATGCTGGATGGATCCTGGGTGGATGCAGGTCTCGGGTGGTGGGTGCTGGTCCCGGGACATTGCAGGTCCTCGGTGGTGGGTGCTGGTCCCGGGGGGCTGCAGGCCCCGGGCGGTGCCGGTGCGCGTGCCGGCGGGTGCCGGGTGCGGCGTCGCGCCACGTGCTCCCGCACGGGGCGTGCGGGGGAGGGC